TTTGAATCTCGTTATTCTCCTTTAACTTATATAGGTGCATCTTTATCGTTCCATTAGTTTCTTGATGTACGATCTTCCCCACTTTGGCTGGTTGATCTTTGATTGCCACCCAGTCGTTTTTTCTCAGCGTGGGGCCCTTCCTGAKAATCCTCCACCAGTCTAYAGGTATCATTTCAATGAGGGTCTCTAGAGATTCCTCCAGTTTGTGACTGTAACGTAGTACCTCTCTCATCTGCTCCAGTTTGGCCCAATCTCTATTTTCAGAGTCCCAAATATCTTTCACCCTGGTCACCCCCCGCTTGACCCAGATCCGCCAAGGGGAGGCTTCACAATGGAGGGTCTGTCCCGTTGCGTCCACCAGCCACCTATTCCCAAAGAGGGGTTGACGAGCCACCTCCTCCCATCTCCCCGGTGGGGTTTTGTCTGGTAAGGGGAGGCTCCTCCATGTGTTCAGCAGGGCGGGCCAGAAGGGATCGTTCCTCAGGTCTGCCCTTGCTGCCTGTCTGGTTGAGTTATGGTGGGGGGCCCCCTGTTGTGATCTTTTTTGGGGGATCGTCCAAGCGCGGTTTTCCAGCCACATCAGCGGGTCGCAGTCGGGTGTCGTCTGTGGTGCCAATCGGGCGATCTGCTCGCAGGCCAATGCCTTCCACGGGACTTCAGGACAAAACAGGATTCTTTTAATCCACTGCAAAGCCAGGGCTTTGGTCTGCAGCATGGGGTCCAGGATACCCAGTCCTCCTCTCTCTTTTGGTTGGATTATGGATTTCCATGCCACTCTACTGATGACATTCTGGAGGTCGTGGTTCCCACGCCACAAAAAGGCGGTAATCTGGCATTGCAGGTGCCTTTTCTTCTTGCTTTCGAGAGAATCCAGTTGACAGCCCTACGTACCTCGTCGTGGGGAATCCTTGAAAACATTTCTTTTATATCAAACGTTTGGGCCAGGATTCTCATACCCGAATTTTGAGCCTTCTTATTAACACCATAAAGGTAGTTCTTTAATTCATTCCCAGCGGTCAGATTAAAGTGCTGGCTTTTCGAATTCCTGATAAGCAAGTTCAGTGTTTTCACTAACTGTCTATTGCAGTGCCTGACAGGACTCAAAAACGACGGACAAATTGCTCGTTTTTTGTTCAAGTCCTTCTCCTTGCTCATAATGAAGGCATTCTGAAGTTTGCCTTTTCCGTCCCATCCGACGATACTTCCCACTTTCAATTTCTTGAAGTCTGTCTTCATCATTTTTAGTGCATCTACCTCCTTATCATTAATTTTTTCAAAATCGGCATTGTTATTAAATGTAGATCTCATCCCGTCTTGATATAATACTGGGCATTCGACAAGCGTTGCCCCAGGATTCCGATCGATGGGGGAAAATACCAGACCATCAAGGGCACTCTTTAACCCCAACACATACTCACTAAACACAGCTCCAGCCGGTAGGCACGGCGCGTGCCTGGTTAGTTTTGTTGGAGATATCCTGAAGGTGTCCTTCACCCCAACTTTCTCAAGGACTTTGAAAGCAGTCTGACAACCTTTGTTGATTTCATTCAAATCCATAATCCGACCTGGATAGGGTACGTTTCTAGAGTTATGGACAAAGGGCGCAGTCTCTGGAACATCATTCAGTCGGACCCGAACATGCCCATTTTCTTTGGGCAGTTGGAATCTGTGACACACGCACTCAGCATAAGAGCTTGCGGCGTATGCCCTATGATTATGCAATAGGTCAGCCACGGTCTTAGCCTTGGTCCATACAGTCCGTAGCTTCCTCTGCATCAGGTCCGACAGTCCTGATGAACAGATCCTTTCGCTCATCCATTCGCATGTTTCAGCCCTAACCACCTTTTTGTCGATGGTAGGGCTGAAGGGCAGCCTAATCACAATTCGCTGCCTCGTATTAAATCCAAATCTTTTCTTCAATTCAGTGGATATTAGTCCTCTTACGATTTGTCGTCCCCGCTTGGTATTAATGCACTTCAGACTCTTTAACATGGTAAACAATTCGTCAGCGGGCTTATTGTTGAGAACTGCCTTTCTTTTCCAAGGGACTCTGAGAAGGGAGATCATTTCCCCTTTCCTCCTTTCAACTTCAGTCCTAATCTTAACGAGGCATGTCAATTCCCACTCCCCTCCCATTTCAAAGACATCTTTCATATCCTTCAACAGAAAGGAGCCTTCCTCATTCCTAAATTTTGACTGGCCAAAAACCAATTTAATCAGCCTCCAAGGCGTAACCCATTTTTTCCCTCTGGAGCTATTGATCCTAGTGCGCCGGGTTTTCCCTTTCAGCGCATTCAGCATACCCAGAAAATCAAAGTGCCGCTCGTTAGAACAATCATTCCCAAAAGAAATAGGGGCCCATTTACCAGGGCGTATAACCCTTGTCAGTTGCCTCCTTGTTTTTCTCGGACGGGCCCTCCCGGTTATATTTCCTACAGTTCAGGCCACGGTTCTCACTGCAGATAATCTTAGCTTCCATAACCCTGAGTTCGCCCTGATTACACCGAAGTAAGGGAACAACAACATAGTTATGCGTCCCTTGCTTACCCAGTCATCGGTGAACCTTGTATACGGGGTCACGATTAGCAGCTCGGACATGTTCAAGCCATCTACCCCCCAAGGTCCGACCCGTCTGTCCTACATAAGTATGCCGACAGAACGGCGAAATCAGTACATAAACACAGGACGAACAGTTCCGGCTATCAAGAAGGCAATCCCAATCTAGTTCGTGCCAGTACTTCAGATAGGTGTTACCCCACTGTATGTACCCGCGAGAACAGTCCCTATTCTAAAGGCAGTCTCAAAAAGTCTCCGAGTTTCGTTTCTCAAAGCAAGGATGGCGTTGCCGATTCGATGGAGGAGACGAAGCAGACTCCTCTTGGAAATCTAATTCCCGGTGACGGCGTCAGCATCTTCCTCGCCTTCGGAGGTAGGTTCATCTTGATGCTCATCTTCTTCTGGTCCCGATTCGTCCCCACCATCACCGTGCACCAGCTTAGTAAACTCGTCCGTGTCCTGTTTCGCTAACTCCCAGGCGCACTTATCCTTCCTCACCCACTTCACGTTCCTTTTAGTGCAGAGGCTCTTAATCTTTCTCCCGTTCATCTCCATATAGTGATCAAGCCTTTGCCTCATATACTCAATAATCCCAACCTCGGTTCGGTCGCTCCTTGAGTAACTACCACGGTTCATCTTGAGCTTGTCCTTCTCTTCTTCTGATTCCTCGCTTGCAGGCTCCTCCTCTTCCTTGTTGACAACCCCACATCTTTTTCCAATCTCCTTCTCCTTCTCCCCGGCCGCCGCGCCCGTATTCGAGTTCTCCGTTTGTATTTTCCCTGCGATTACTGATAACATCATCATCACGTCCTCAAGTTTAGGTGCTTCTCCACTGCCGCCGGAGCCAACGACATTGGCGTCCTCCGCCTTAACCTTCTCCTCATCGTCAGAGGAGACGATGATTCTTGGCTGCCGAATCTTCACGCCGCCGCTTCTGGATCGCGATCTCGATTTCAATCGTTCCGCTGATGGTGAGTTCACGCCCGCCGCACTCTTCCTCTTCTCATTGCTATTAGCACCTTCACACCCTTTCTCCTCGAGTTCCTTCAAAATCTTCGCCATCCTTTCTCTCTCGACTTTCGCCTCCTTCGCTTTTTTATCCACCGAATCCAATTTCTCATAAATCCTTTTCAGCGAAGTACCGAAGTTGTTCGCAAGCCAAGTCTTAAGGTTTTTCTCTCCATCGTCAGATTTAACCGCCCCTTTACCTTTCCCTCTCTTACTCGTATCCTGCCTACCACTCTCACAGGATCCCTCGGTCGACTTCTTCAATTCCTCTTGCTCCTTCAACTTCCATTTTTTTCGATGAGTTCGAGGTGCTCCCGTGTAAACCAGGCCCGATTCCCGGGGCCCGGAAAAGGATTAGCCGCCGGGGTCTTCTGCAGCTGCTGCTGGTGCGTCGACCAATTTTGCTGAGGTGGCGTGGGTAGCGCAGGCAGAGGTGGGGGCAGTAACGGGACCGGCATGGCAGCAGGCTGCGCCCATCCATACGGGGGGTAGGAATATCCTGGGATCGCGGCTTGCATCACTGGAGGAGTGTTCTGGTGCTGAGCTGGCAGCGTAGCGGGCGGAGTATTGTCCGGAAAATCCATCCAATACCGCCTGCAACCAGACCAGCTTCCCCTCCCGCGACCTCGTCCCCTCCCTTGCACGTACATGCAGATGGATTCTTGATAATCTGCACAAGACAAACACAAAGGCGAAGAAACAGAACACACAATCGCTCGGATTCGCTCCCCCACGGATCCCGAGTTCAATGTACAGGGAATCGCCGGAGTAGAGAAGAATAATAAACGACTGTAATTGTTTGGATTATGAATAACACGTGATATAGGATATATGATATATGATGTATGAAGTAGGTAAGCGATACAAATAGATAACTAATGATCAATAATGATCAGTGATGATCAGTAATGATCAATAATGATGAGTAATAATAAGTAATAATGATGATGATAATAATGTGTAATGATAAACAAAGAGTGCGCGTGCATCCAGATTCCCCGTCGGCTCAGAGTGCAGTAGCGTGAGAGTGCTGGCACAAGTGCACCAGTCTCAGTAACATAGCTCGATAGTTACCAATACGGAGGAGGACGAACGGCGCCGAGCGAGCGTGCCCGTGCGCAACTGCTAGGTCGTTCGTTCGGATCATCAATAGAATTTGAAAAAATAAAGACAATTTAGTTGAAGATTACATCTCACAACATACCACATTGCCAGAACAGGGTACGGATCACTCCGTACCCCAGACCTTCTACTTCATGTTGCTCAGTCTGTGTGCGAGCGAACGCTCGCTATCTTTAAATACCCAAAAGAACTACAGTACTGTCCCTTCGGGGCTGGTCCACCGTCCTAGGCCCTTGGGCAGTATCCCGCCTACGGAATAACTCATAAACCAAAAAACTTAAAAAAAACTTACAAATTCGAAAAAACCTTGCAAAAATGTATCTCCGATGCTCAGACCCGATATGACCGAGATGGGCGAATCCTCATCCCAGATCCTCGTAGATCCAAGCTCTGAGCGTATTAAGCCAAAAAACGACAAAATTGCCATGTTGGGTCTGACCTGCGTGGCACAGTTCAGTGAATCAGGAAAAAACGAGAAAAACGAGAAAACCCCCAGAAGGGCTTGAACGTTTTCGTCCTGCCCCATCCTCAAGATCTCAACCTTGCCTCATATCCATCCCTCGTAGCACTTGGCAATATTCTGAACCATCGGTGGCCAGCATCCTCCGATTTTCGCCGCTACTTTTTTCAATGCGTCCAAAATCATAAGGCTCAGGAACCCCGCTACTTTTTTCAAATGCAGTTGAAACTCGGGCTGGCCTTTTCTAGCAGTTCAGTCAGGCACATGGGCTCTTTTTTTTTTTTTTTTTTTTTTTTTTTTTTTTTCAGTCGCACGCTACTCGCCAGCTCAACGATCAGGCGCCTTTCAGCGGATTAAGGAGTTCGAAGCTCATGGATGGATCGAACCCGCTATAGAACCATGGTCTTTTCCTGTAGTGATAGTACCCAAGAAGGCTGGGGGGATTCGCATTTGCATTGATTATCGAAAGTTGAATGATATCACGATTAAAGATGTGTATCCCCTCCCCCGGATTGATGAGTTATTGGATGCGATTAGGAGTGCTCCATTTTTCAGCAAGTTTGATGTTCGTCATGGGTACCATCATCTTCTTGTCCAAAAAGACGATCGTCCGAAAACCGTGTTTGTGCTTTTTGAAGGTACGTGGCAATGGATTCGATGCCCGATGGGTATCCGCAACGCCCCTGCAACTTTTCAGCGGACCATGAACATGGCTTTTCATAATTTCGTGCGGAAGACTCGCCTGGCGCAGAGCATCTTCAACTACTGCGTGATTGTGTACATGGATGACATCTTGGTATATTCGAGCTCCTACGAGGGATACGTGCAGCACATCGAATGGGCACTGCATGCGCTACGAGATGCAGGTTTCAAAGTGACGCTTGAGAAGTGTCAGTTTTTCCTCACCACCATTTCTTTCCTAGGGCACGTGGTGACAGACAAGGGACTCCAACTGGAGCCGCAAAAGGTGGCTGCTGTCAGGGACGCGCCAGTGCCTACCACTATCACGCAAGTTCGCGCCTTTCTGGGCCTAGCCTCGTATTACCGAAGATTTATCAAGGGCTTCGCGGCGATTGCGGGACCCCTCACAAATCTCCTGCGCAAGGATCAGCCGTTGATCTGGACGCCGGAGTGCGATCAAGCGTTTTTCAAACTCAAGGCTGCTCTCATTCCGGCTCCGGTCCTTATAAGACCGGATCCCGAAGAACCTTTTGTTCTCATCACCGACAGGCAGCCAGAGGCGATTTCGGCGATCCTTGCCCAGGTGGGACCGAGCGGACTCGAGAGTGTAGTGGAGTATGCGTCCAAATCAGTGCCCGCCTACAAGCGCAATTACGCCGCTCCAACGGGTGAATGCTATGCGGCTCTCTAGGGAATCAGTCACTTTCGTGCTTACCAGTACGGGCGAAAATTCACCCTGGTGACTGATCATGAGCCCCTGTTGGCTCTGAAGAAGTCGAGGGATTACTCGGGCATGATCGGGCGATAGGCAACGGTGCTGCAGAGCATGGACTTTGACATTCGTCATCGAAAGCACGAGAGACACGGGAATGCGGACGGACTGACACGACTGCACCGGCCTGAGAAGGTTCCAAAGGGTGAGGAGGTAATTCCGTGGAACGAACCCGAACAGGAGATCGGACCTCGGTACGGCCAAGTGGAGATCTTATCGAAGCAGTAAGTGACACGAGGACTAATTGTTCTGTTCTGCTCTCCCTGCATCCCCTCCTCCTCTGCCACCATGACTACCCCACTTGCCTCCACAACCCATTCTTCTCCTACTAATTCTGCCCCTCTTACTTCCTCAGCTTTCTTCGACACCCTCCCCGATAAATTCTGCTATTTTTGCACCTGTATTGCACGGGTTTACGGGGTCGACTGTCATCCCTTCGAGACCGGATTTGTCGATTGGGTGGAATGTGCCACGTGTGTCAATCGTGTGTACGGAACCTGCGTTCGATATCGAACGAGTAGCAAGGAATGGAGGTGCCCCCTGTGTAGAACGAACAAACTCCCCACGGAGGTTCGATTCGAGGCCGCCCGTACGAACGGTCCTGAATACAACAAAAAATACCGACGGGCGGAAGTCTGGACGGATAAAATTTTATTGCCGAAATTAGCGGGATTATCATTGGGCCACCTCACCAAACACGATAGACGTAGGGCGACCGAGAGATCTCGGGACTATCGATGGATCAACGGTCATTTGGAAAAGCGTAAAACTGACGGATCGGGTTCGTGGCTGACAGTTCCCCATCCCTTTCAGAGATACGATTGGATCCGATCTGCTCACGAGGAACAGGCCGCTCATTTCGCGATACGTGTCACGGAGACAACTGTAGACCAAAATTGATGGTTCTGGTCCAATATACGAGATGATGTCAAATACATTGTCGCTAACTGTCTGGTTTGTGCCGCTGATCGCGCCTCTATACGGAGACCAAACATGATCGTGTCAACGGAAGTAGAGCGTCCTTTCCAGCGAGTCAGTATGAACACGACAGATATTGACGTACCACCTGGCCCAAACCGCTGTGAATATTCCATCCTGTTAGTTTTAATTGACAATTTTTCCAAATACATCGAAGTCTATCCTTGTAAGATCCGAAAGACCGCCGAAATAGCCACATACATCGAACGATTCCTCTATACCCATCTAGATACGGAAGAATTTCTAACTGACAATGGGTCGGAATTCAAAGGTGAGGTAGAGGAACTGCTTGCGCGAAGGGGCGTCACGCTCCGACATACGGCACCCCATGTATCCCAGTCGAACAGGTTGGCCGAGAATGCCAACCGTATGATTAAAACCGGCCTTCGCAGGAACTTAGCGGCACACGACACGCGTCCTTGGCCCGAGATCGTATATCAGATCGTTCGGATCCACCGGGCCACCCCTCATGAGTCTACGGGGTTTACCCCCTTTCAGCTTCGAACTAATAGCCTCCCCTGTGTCGATTACCGGGGTAACTCGAAAATTGCCGAAGCCGGGGGTAGAGACACGCGTGCGGCCCTCAAGGCCAAGGCCAAAAGGTACACCGATTTGATGGAACGAGCCGTTCCGAAGCTAGCCTGAAAAAGACAAAGGATGACCGAGCTGGCCCACAGTAGACAGGTCCGTAGCTACGAGGCCCGGAACAGGAATGTTGGGCCCCAGTACCAGTATAAATTGGGGGTTCTAGTGCAGGTACGTAGATGTGCACGCGATCGGAAACTCGCTCCCAAGTTCTCTGACTGTTTTCGCGTTGTCGAACTCGGGCCCAACGGCGCCAACACGGTGCGCATCGCGCCTGAGGCTAGCGCTAGCCATAGCTCCGTCCCCATCGTCAGACCTACCTCCTACCTCCGTCTCCTTCCTCCTTCCGATTTTCCTCCCTCTTCTTCCTCGGAAAGCGAGGAAAACGACGACGATCTGACCCTCTCTCCTCTTTCTCCCTCTTGTCCCTCGTCCTCCTCTCCGACCTCGCCACGAGTTTCATCACGGAGCGGGTTCTCGACGCACAGCTGCGGCAGCCACGTGGCCACATCTCAGAGA